CAGGGCCCATATTATAGGTTATGGCTTTGATCCTGCTGTATGTGAGGGACCTTTCAGCACTGGATTTAAAATGGCAATCAACCAATTAAATCTAAGCCATCTATCTATCTCAGTGTACTGTACCTTATCAGTAACAGTGTCTGGACTATTGCACCATCCCTCTCACCGGATGCCTGACACATTACACACCAGAGCGAGTTCACGAGATAACATCCAGACTGCAGTGAATATGAGAATATTTCACACCGAAGTCTTATGAGTGAAAAAGGCCACATGCTGTGGCCCTTTGCTCTGAAACCTGCTGTGTCCCAGAGGGTGAGCCTGGCACTCACTCAGCACTTCAAACAAAAGAAAACACCTTATGCACATCCCACCGTCGCGTCTGTCTCACACGAGAGTCACATGACAGAGACGGACCATGCAAATGCTGGCCCATCTGCACCGCATTTCCTCCCCTGTCTTTGACTTGCTCTCACGGTACTTAATTCTCAGCAGGTAGTGTACACACGGACATCTGCTTCAAGGGATTACATGACCGTTTGCTTCCATCTAGTGGTTATCTACCTGCACTCTAGTGACCGCAGGTCAATGTGAGTGGAGGGATCCAACAACTACCAGTACCTACTATTTCCTTTATACTATTAGAGAAGGGTTAGTTCCCTTATATTCCTGAAAAAACACATTTTCTCAACAATCGTTTGTGGTATCTGGACATGTTGATGGTCGTAGTGTGGTGTTTTTGTCTAAGTGAGATATTGCTTCTCAGATTAGTGACTTTGGTGATTTAAAAAAAATCACCACACTCCCACCTTTACTACATCATTATAATAATGATGATCAAAATGGGCAATATTATGATTATTTTTATAGTGTCTGCTGTATATATATATATATATATATATGTACACAAATATATAGATACTATAATTGATAATATATTTGCTATTACATTATTAATATAATTATTATATTATGATTGTTATTATTATTACATACCACAGATTCTAATTATTAAATGTATTAATTTGTAAATTAAATTTTAATTTATATTATTATAATATATTATTAAAACATCCATGCACACACACACACACACACACACACACACACTCAAACATACCCTTCCTAACCTAAGATCTTACAGTATATACTCCATGTAAGTCTGTTTTATGTTTTCTGAGTCACCATGTCTTCCATGACACTCCATATATAATATTGTTATTTATGAATTATCAAGTCATATTAGTTCACCAAAAAATAAAAAAATCTTTTAAAAAAATCACCAACTCTCATTTCCAGGATCAAAACTTCTGTTTTCTGTGGATTTTCCAGAATAACTGGTAAACTGTTTGTAAAAAGCCAAATTTTATAAATTTGTTTTTTAAAATATTAATTAATTAATATATATATAATAAATAATAATAAATTACTGCCACCCATGTCCTGTCACTCATGTTCTCCATTGTCTCCCAACTTAAAAAAGGCAAGAACGGCCAAAAACACTACAGCAAAGTAAACCATCTGCATGGCTGCATCAAATTAAGTAAGAAAATATATACTTTTGTGTGTGTGATTGGGGAGACCTTGTTTAAATAGTTTAGAAAGTAAACAGTGAATTGTTAACATGAAAAACACACACAGTGCACTACTATTAGCGGTAAAATGTAAGTTGTTGGTTTACTGTGAATAAACCAACAATGTCAGTGTCAGCCCAGGGGGAGGTCTGACCACGTCATCATACCACTAACTAAAACTGAATACGAATGTGATATCATTATTTCCTGATCTGCAAAGTGGTCACCACAGCTATTAGATGAACACAGTGGAGTAAAGAGCAGGCTACATTATTTCTTCTGTAAATGTAGTGAGTCGGAGATACAGCAGCTGCAAACAGATGGTGCTAAAAGTGTGGTTAATCATCACTGAAGGTATTCAGAGCGATTACTTAGCATGCAGCGTCATGTGCTGGGATGTGTGCCTTCCACCATGCAGCTGAGATGATACGGACAGATAAGTTGGGGCGTGGGAAGACCAATGAGTTAGCTGGCTGCCTGGATGATCTTCGAGAGGCTCTTCTGGTTAGTGACTGTAAAGATCACTGTAGTAAACTAAAGAACTGCTTCAGTGGTGCTATGATGCAGCATCTGTGAACTTACTGCGTGTACTGCACTGATTACAATACAATAACCTCAGGATTTAACCATCTCAACCTCTCCTTCTGTTTCTTACACGTAGTGGTATTGGGATGTTATTAGTTAATATTTACAAATGTACACTTGCTGATGCGGTGAGAAGCCTGTTGACTGAAACTACAATGTGAAGTGTGTTTTCTCTCCGAGTCAGGTGTGTACAGAATTCCTCCTTCAGTACAGAATAGATGCACTTGTCAGTGCATCTGTCTAACCCGACACAGAGGTCGCGGCTTCTCAGGTGCCTTAGAGGCAGCAGCAAATACAGCGACAATGACTTTCACCATTTCTGACAATTTAACTTTGCTACCGTGTTCTCCCGCTTACATTTTTTTTTGGGGGGCCTTTTTATGCTTTTATTGACAGTGCAGTAGAGAGAGACAGAAAATGGGGAGGCAGAGAGAGGGGGAATGACATGCAGCAAAGGGCTGTCCGATGCAGGACTCGAACCGGGGCGGATGCTCAACCAACTGAGCTACTCGACGCCCCCTCCCGCTTACATTTTAATCTACATACCTACAGTTAAAAAGAAAATGCAAATCATTTGCCAAAAATTTGAATCTGGACATTCACGGTTTTCTATCCAAAACCTGCAAATTTTGAAGGTGAAGTTCCTGTTGGAGGAGTTGTGTAAACTGAGCTGTGCTTCTGTGACCCTCTCTTTGTGAGACTCGCAGACTCGCAGACGACTGAGTTTGTACTTACCGATTTCCACACTCACACAAACATGCATGCACACAATCAGTACAGTACTTGCAATATTTAATACCACCATCTCTTATTGAGCTATTTCTCTTAGCATAATGGTCGTTCTATACATAAAGCAGCATTTTTTATCTTTTACATTAGGCCAGTTATTGGTCACCTCCAGAGTTATCTACAATGAGTTAAATACCACAATGAGCCTCAGACCTCATCGCCACGGTACAGTAACTCTGACCCTTGAGCTCTTCACTGTTGACATGTCGATGTTCCTGTGACCAGAAGTATCTGTGCTTCATTCTCTCATGAAGCCTGTCTTTGTTATTGGACTTCAGCCTCTTTCCTCTGTTGACATCTGAAACCTTAAAAGGTCTGGCACTACCTGACTCACTGGCAAACAGAAGCTCTTTTGTCTAAAATGCAGGAAAACTGCAAAAAAAAAGAAAAAAGAAGCATAATAATAATAATAATAATGCTTCACTGGTGAACTCCAAACATGACAACTGGCAAAGACATATACTATATATGGAAAAGATCCGAGCACCTACATGCATACTGAACAGCATGAGGACAGGGAGGGAACATTGTAGGCTATGGGTTAAATCCTTTAACAGATTTATGAAAATTATAAAATTGAATCTGAATAAAATAAAAAATAATAATAAAAACATAATCCCTGCATTTACTGAAACTTTTTGATCTCACTGTTTAATACATATGTCCTTTTTCTGCTTCCATTATATCCATTATATTACAGTTTGAATCAGTTATTAGCCTTAAAGATTGACTGCTGGGATTTCTCACTTGCTAAATATGCTTTTAGCTTTTAATCCAGCAGAAAATCTTTAATAAACATGATATTCAGCTGTTAAAATTAAATCTGCCTTAGGATGAGAATATCTGCCAGTGATTTGTTTGAAATGCAACTTAAAAAGGAGCTGTGTGCCAGTTTTGCTATTGCTACATAGCTAACGTTAGCATTAACAGCTGATTTTTTACCAGTCTAGAAGAAACGTTGCAAGTTTAGCATCAAATTTCAGTCCTTTACTATCTCCAGCAGTTAACTCTTTTTATCACATCTTTTCTTCTACTGAATTTGTCACTGTAGCATTCAAGTTGAAGCTGCTCAGAAGGTTTGTTTTAACCTCGTCTTGTAAATGCAACAATGGCTTAAACTCTTGGAAAGACTGGTAAATTAACAGCTGTTAAGGCTGACGTTGGCTATGTAGCAATAGCAAAACTTGCAAATAGCTCCTTTTAATATATGACTAGAGAATGGGGCAATCAAGGTGCCTGGCAATCAAGGTGTCTGGCAAATGTATAAATGTTAATATAACTATTTTGAATTTTTTCTATGTTAGAGTCTCTTGTTGGGCTTTGAATAGGAGTTTTGGGTGGTATACAATACATATAATAACAGTAATAATAAATGAAGCCATTGCCCTTTGCAAGTGTTGACAGACTGATGTGTTCACACATCTGGAGTCAAAGCTAGGTTGTTTGTTATGTTTTCCTAATTTTCTAAATTCTTCCGTTATTTGGGATGGGGAGTAAAGAAGGGGAAACATCAACCTCAGACTCAGCTGTGTACACTTGCATACCCCATGCAGCCAAACCATTTTCTCTCTCTCTCTCACCCTCTCTCACACACACACACTCACACACACACACGTCCCCACTTCAATATCCTTTATTCAGTCTCTTGTCTTTTGGTTGATGTTTTACCAAAGAGCATTTCTAGTTTTACCTTGAAGCTATTCCATCCGCCTCGACTACACTCGATTGATCTTTACCACATACTTTGAAACCGTGCAATCGATTCCACTGAAATGTCCCGTCTTTTACGGAGCACATGCACACGGTGGTAATTTCACATTCCACAGGGGCTTACATTTAGCTCTCACTGTTACTGTAAGGTAAGAAAACAGCACTGTGAGTCACCTTCTCTTGGTCTCTTAGGAAAAGTGAAACTGAAACAACTTTCATTTCATCTTTATATTAAAACGATGTGCATGCACTAAACAGCACAACATCAACCTGTATCTGAAACTTTGATATTATCGGTTTCACAAAGCCAAATTGAAGGATTAAGAAAACACTTTCGCTTACCACAAATGCAAGATTGATTGATCCTCGTTCCTTGAATCCGAGCTCTATTTTCTCCTCTGTGGTGAGATGCATTCTGGTAAACAAGGCAAGGTGGTGTGTAGTTGCTTCTGTGGACCTAAGTGTCGGCTCTACACACATACACAAGCACACACGGTGGGAGTAAAACTGACTGACGCAGAACTAAGAGGACAATGTGACTCACGTCACCAGGGAAACTGAGTATCACAGTCAAGAAGAGAGTGACTCAGTTATTTTCTAATCTCCTCCCTGGCTCTGAAATGTTTCTGGTCAGTAGCTAACTGTATGTAGGCTTAACTACCCCGACTTACAGTCATGTGTCTGCTGTTGTGTGACGATTGGATCCTATGAGAGTAGACAAACACGTTTGTCACATGAATGTTTACTTTGTCATACATATTAAAACGGTCTTTCAAAAGATCTGAAGTTGAGAGATTTTGGGAATAGGTTTCGTTGTGCAGTGTTTCAGTGGATTTCAGTGTCTGATTTGTTTCATGGCTGTTTCTCTATTTTTTTTTTTTTTTTAAGATGCTATAGTTCACCTGCACTACAATGGACACCATGTTATCACACAGTCACAGTATGATGCTTGACATTTAGAAGGAATGACACTGTCATTAACATCAGTCTATGTTTGAGTTCCTAATGGATCAGTGTTCCACTGACTCACATGAACTCACATAATCACTCCACGCTCCGGCACTAAAGCCTGCAGTGAGACTGTTCAATTCAGTCACTTCCTGTCTCTAGAGCAGTTTCATGTACATTATAGGATGTGCATCTCTGTTGCAACTTTCAAAACTAAACTTAAAACTTATCATATAACTTCTATAAGATCTTTTATTGTATCTTCCCTTACCACCTGTATTTATTGTTATATAACCATGAGTGCAGCCTTCCCCTAACTTTAACCAATGAGAAGTAAGTAAGTGTTTTTAAAAAGCTCACTGTCATCCCCGTGCAGTGTAGCCGCGTTGAACAGCACCGTGCTGGACAGGTGACAGGTGTGTCTGTTCTGAAAGACGTTACAGCACAGGAAAAAAAAAAGAATTAATTTGCTATTCCCTTGTTTCCAGAGAGGGCACGCAGCAGGCAAACCCAGTACTGCTACTGGTCCTGGTGTGACATAGATGTGCTGGACATATTATTTGAATGTTTAAATACAAACAGTCACTTGGTGAAATGATTTCAGGTTTTGATTTATTACTTTTTGAACATTTTCAGTGAATTTTACCAATACCGTGATAATACTGATAACTGTGATTTTTTTGGTCACTATAATTGTGATACTAAATGTCTTTTCCGTTTCATATCTATCGTGGACAGACATTGATTACACTGTCTGTCCGCAGTAATGAAACCGAGCGTCTTGGGTTCATCTAACTAGGCAGATTTAGTAGTAAAATAAAATATATAGAACATAGAGACGTAGTACGATGAAAAGTAACAACAGCTTATTTATTTTTATTAACACATGTGTCACTTGTCACTGGTCATTTCTTTGGGAAAAGCACTGTAGGAGTCATAGCAAACTTCTCGCCTTATGTTTTTATGTGCACAGGCTTGTACTTATTTATCATAGAACCAAATACTTTTCATGCTTTTAAATGAGTGGTAATGTCTATAATCCAACCCTACAGAAAAGGAAAATCAATTTGTCTTTATATCTATGAAAAACCTCGACCTCAAGTAACCCATCCTGTTCTGGTTTTCTGTCTATGGTCCACCGATTCTTACTGGCTTCTCTCTTTTCCTGTGTCCTTGCATACACTTTCATCACACCCCCTCCGCACACACAGATGGAAACTGAGTAACTGCAGTTTTTCTGTGCCGTGATTATTATTAGAACCATCATCCACAAGGCTGAACATCCCATAATCTCCCAAACACGCATTACTTCACATTTTATTTTGCAGATTTTCTGGGAAAATGGTTAGAATTATGTGTAAAGTTCAGATGGAAACTTTCATTTCACTATCGAGCAGTAGTTTCTGATCAGGGGATCCGCTGGTCTGTCCCTCTCTTACCCCCAGGAGATGGAGAATAGATAGGGCTCGTTAAATTTTCTCAAGACTAGTACCAATAAAAGTAAACTTGACTGGAATGCAGACTCATTAATGAGAAAACAATAAAAAGAAAATTACGATACATTTACTCTTTCAACAAATATTTTGTTTTTGTCCGTTTAGTAAAATAAAATAATAAAAAAAAACAATAAGGAAAGACAAAATCTTAAAAAAAATCATATACTCTCAATCATTAGGGAGGTCGGCTTTAAAAGTCAGCTATAAGAAAGCAGATTTATCTGATCATCTAGTCTGTAAAATGCGACTCAGTGTTTTTTAGCGGTTTTGGTCGCATTTAAAAAAAATCCTCCTGTACCCGGTAACTGTGGTGTAAAAAGTTTTTGGAAACTTTCACTGCCCTCCGCCATGTTTTGATTGACACATTAACAAACCCACGTTACGTTGCTTGCCGCGCATGCGTCTTGGGAGAACCTGACATCAGTCAAATTAACCACAATAATCAAACACAGTAATTGACCACGGTTATAGTGATAATTAAAATTTAAATGGAAATACCAACCGCCTGGCATTTTCACCGTGATACAGTGTGAAACCGGGAACTGTCTCATCTCTAGTCTGGAGAATGGGATCTTGTCTTCTTACATTACATCTGACCCAATAGTTGTTCTGTATGTTCCCTGCTCTTATTACCACACATAATCAGGAATTTGACACGTTCTGGATATGTGAAGACAAGCATGAATACTATGTTCAAAATCGCTGTCACGTCAAGGGAATGAGAAATCAATTCATTCCTATGGTCATGGCATGTTTGGGAGACTTGACATGCAGTGGTGCAGCCAGATGATTTTCATAGGCCTGGCCAGGCCGAGGCCAGTATGAGTCACTTTGGGGTGGCACAGGAATTGACAGTCTTGTTCAGTTTCTTTTCTGCGTGGTATAATTTAACAATAACAGCAGCTTTCGTCACTATTGCAGCTTGTACATGAATCTTTGCTCTTTAGGGCTTGGGAATTTTGTTCCTCGTCTTATTTTTTATCCAATTGATTGAACTTCACTTAATCATGGCTGACAGTGAATGACTGAACTTTGATGCTGAACTCACAACGTTTCTTCCAGAATGGTCAGTAAACAGCTGAGCTCCTTCTTTAGCTGTGGAGAAATGCCTCTGCAAAAGAAAGAAATGAGAGACCCACACTACAAGTGTGTGGTTCTCATTTATCCAAGTCTGTAATAGCTGGAAAGCAAATAACAGAAACTCTCGTTAGCCAAACATTTGCAGCATTACTGTTGCTGCCCTCACAGTTGAATACGGGCGTATTAATTTAAATAGCAAACACCTGTGTCACAGGTTAATTGATGGACACCTGCCAGGCAATCAGAATTAAGAATTTTTTTAAAAACTTGAAAATGTTCAACTGTAATTTACTTTACATTATCATACTTTAATGTTAAATGTTATGCTAGCTCTGATAAGGGCACAAGGCCTCATTTTAAAAAGGTTTTATTTTTTACTTTTTATTTTTCACTTATATGTTGTGGGCCCCAGCAAGTCTATGTATAAACTTATAAACTACGTATATAACTTTTTACAACAAAATGAGTACATATAAGCATTCTTTTATAAAAGGCACACACACACACACACACACACACACACACACACACACACACACACACACACAGATATAGGAGCCTGGTAAAGTGGATCCGTCGCATCTGTTTGTTGGTGCTCCTGTAAGTGTCGAAACCTCCGTGTGAGAGATCAGTGAATGTGTGTTTTTAAAACTTATTAGTGGTAGTGTTTCTGGTTTAATAGCACTATGTTGTCTCTCAGTCTTACGCAGAGCCAAAGTGAAGTCTGACTTGCTAGGCAAAGATACAATGCTGTTGTTTTACAAGAGGCAAAACTGAATGTGAAAAAAACAAAACTTAAAAAGTGGTGCACCACTGTGTCGCTGTGTGGGATTGCACCATGTAGCGTTGAGTCAACGACGATACAGTTCGTGATTGTTTGCTTTAAAGAAAAGTGTCCTGGCGTGGGAGAGTTTCTCTGAGCCAACTTAGTGAACATGAAAGGCGTCTGGTGTTCTGACCTTAACAGCCACTCTTTGATTTCCTTATTTATCTCTTTCTTCATGTACCTCCATCATCACCACAAAGAGGCCCCTCTGTCACGGTGTCCATTTCCCAAGGTCTTTTAAACTGCAGTGTTTTACACAGCAGGATTCTGTTCACGTGCAAAATTGTCATGTCTAATTCAAAAGACCACAGCAGCCACAGATCCTGTAAGAATTAAAATTCCTAAATCCTCGATGATTTTCACGCTTTTCCGTATAGACTACCCCGGTAACTTTTCTCCCCCGATGACTGCGTCCCGCTCACCTTTAAGTGCAGCTAGCAGATTTTTTCACAAGCTTGTTGTTGCGTTTCTGTAAAGCAGGTGTCTGAAAGGATTGGACACGGTACGACTTGGACTGAAAAGATTCTTTGTACCTTCAGCCTCTCACAGTTCACAGCAATGTTTCACATGATAAAACCAAAGACGAGGGAATACTTCTGTCCTGAGAAAGTTAACCTGTGTCATGTTGGAGTTTCATTAGCAGACGACAGTAACAGTGAATAAAAGAATATCAAAAAGGCCTAAAAAATAAATAAATAAAAGCACTGTTCCTTACTCAAATCACATTTCGTAAGTTGTGAATACTGTAAAAGATCTTTTATAAACGCAAGTCCGAAACTGGGAACAAAAAAGTGTGTGTACAGATGTTTCACCATGAAACCTAACTGTAATATGTTACCAACCATTCCTAACAATCAGACAGATCTGGTAGACAGTGACTAATGAAAAATGTGAGTAGATGAACATTGAAAAGAATTGATCAGAGCTTCATTTCCAGGCTTTGATGAACCATGGACCCTTGTGATGGTGTGACGTTGAGAACAAAAAGGGAGTTCACACAGTAGCTGCTGACCCGTGGACGTGCAAGTGATCAGCATAAGTGTTACTGTTATCTCCAGAGAGATAGCTTAAATCAATCCATACACACACACACACACACACACAGCAGGAAGTCAGGGTTGATGATGTGTGTACAAAGCATCTGACTTTGACAAATGGTCCTCCCAGAAGTTTATGTAGGGACAATCTTTCTTCAA